ATAATGTGGACAACTGCATCCCAATGACTATCACATGGAGAATTCATAAACTGACTTACAACAAGGATAAGAAATGTCGGGTCTAGTCACTGTGAGATAATTTATTTACCAACCAGCCTCATATAGCTTGCAGGATCGCTAAGCGGCTCACCCTGTCCTGGCAGAAGTTTAGAATTCGAATCCATCGGAGTGTCAACAGGTCTGCAACCTATCATTCCTATCTCCTCAAGAATGTCTAAAGCATATTTTCTTTGACAAATAACAATACTTGATCTAAACTGGGCAACCTCAATACCTAGAAAGTACTTCAATCTGCCTAGATCCTTAGTTTGGAAGTGCTGGAAGAGATGTTGCTTCAGATTGGTAATATCATCCTGATCACTGCCAGTAATATCAATATCATCAACATAGACTACCAGATAAATACAGAGACTTGAAGCAGAATGCCGCTAAAACACAGAGTGATCAGCTTCACTATGAGTCATGCCAAACTCCTGGATAACCGTGCTGAACTTACCAAACCAGGCTCGAGGAGACTGCTTTAGACCATAAAATGACCGACGCGAGCGACATACAAAGCCACGAGACTCCCCCTGAGCAACAAAACCAGGTGATTGCTTAATATAAACCCCCATCCTCAAGATCACCGTGAAGAAAGACATTCTTAATGTTCAGCTGATAGAGAGGCCAATGACGAACCGCAGCCATGGATAGAAAAAAGCGGACTGATGCCACTTTAGCCACGGGAGAGAAGGTATCATTGTAATCGAGCCCAAATATTTGAGTATATCCTTTGGCAACAAGACGGGCCTTAAGTCGATCAATCTGGCCATCGGGACCAACTTTGAATGCATAAACCCAACGACAACCAACAGTTAATTTACCTGAAGGAAGAGGAACAAGCTCACAAGTACCACTTGTATGTAAAGCAGACATCTCGTCACTCATAGCCTGTCGCCATCCTGAATGAGACAACGCTTCACCTGTAGACTTAGGGATGGAAACCGAGGACAAAGAAGATATAAAAGCATAATGAGGAGATGACAGACGATGATAACTCAAACCGACATAATGAGGATTAGGGTTAAGTGTGGTCCGTATACCTTTCCGAAGTGCAATCGGTGTACTAGGAGCAGAGTCCGCAGTAGGAGCAGGGTCAGGTGCAGGACGAGAACCAGTTGGGCCTGATGGAGGGCGCGAACGACGATGATAAGTCAAGGGTGGTGTTCCTGTGGCTGGGGAACTAGGAGGAACAATACTAGACTCCTCAATGGTTGGTATGGGTGAAACCTCTGTGGTCGAAGGTGCAGGAGGAGTTATAGTAAACTCCTCAAAGGTCGGTATAGGTAAGAACTCAGATATATCATGGTGGTCAGCAGAAGTAAAGAAAGGTTTAGACTCAAACAATGTGACGTCAGCTGACATAAGGTACCTATGAAGATCAGGTGAATAACAACGATATCCCTTCTGAACACGAGAATAACCAAGGAAGACACATTTAAGAGCACGAGGAGCTAACTTATCTTTCCCCGGGGCTAAGTTATGAACAAAACACGTGCTCCCAAAAACACGAGGTGGAAGAGAGTATAAGGCTGACTGGGGAAACAATACCGAATGTGGAATCTGATCCTTGATGGGAGATGAAGGCATCCGATTAATCAAATAACAAGTTGTGAGAACTGCATCGCCCCAAAAACGTAACGGAACACGAGATTCAATTAGAAATGTGCAAGCAGTCTCAATAAGGTGCCTATTCTTTCTCTCTGCAACCCCATTTTGCTGAGGGGTATAAGGATAAGATGTCTGATGAATAATTCCTTGAGAAGTCATAAACTGCTGAAACTGAAAAGATAAATATTCTAAGGCATTATCACTACGAAAAATGCGAATAGAAATACCAAATTGATTTTTGATTTCAGCACAAAAACTCTGGAATATAGAGAATAACTCAGAACGATCTTTCATTAAGAAAAGCCAAGTACATCTTGAGTAATCATCAATAAAACTAACAAAATAACGAAATCCCAAGGTTGAACTGACTTTACTAGGACCCTATATATCAGAATGAACTAAGGAGAAAACAGACTCTACATGACTCTCAACACTACGTGGAAAGGAGGCTCGGGTATGTTTCCCAAGCTGACACGACTCACAATCTAATGTAGACAAACTAGATAAACTAGGCACCATCTTCTAAAGTTTGGATAAACTCGGATGTCCTAAACGTCTGTGGATTAGGTCTGGAAGATCTGTAACTAGACATGTTGTGGAAGGATTGAGTGAGTTAAGGTAGTAAAGGCCTTCTGATTCACGTCCTGTACCAATTGTCCGTCCCGTACTGCGGTCCTGCATAATAAAGGAATCGTCAGTAAAATATATACCACAATGGAGGGCACGAGTCAAACGACTAACAGATGCAAGACTAAAAGGACAGTCAGGGACATAAAGAACGGAATCTAGGGTGATAGAATACAAAGGGTTAGCTTGTCCAACTCATTTTGCCTTAGTTTGACATCCATTGGCTAAAGTAACAGTGGGAAGAGACTGTGAATATACAATATTCGACAAAAGTGATTTATTACCAGAGATGTGATCAGAAGCGCCTGAGTCCATGACCCATGGTTCAAGAGTGCTAGACTGGGAAACACAAGCAAAAGAATTACCAGCAACAGAAGTATCAGTCTGGGCAACCGAGGCTACTTGTGGAGATGTCTGCTTACTTGCTCGATACTGAAGGAGCCCATTATATTCTTCTTTAGATAAAGAAAATCATTGGTTACCTGTAGTCTCGGTCTGAGCAACGTAAGCATTTTTGGGTGGACGACCATGTAAGGAATAGCACATTTCACGAGTGTGTCCAAGTTTGTGACAATAAGAACACTTGGGTCTAGATCTTCCAAAACGACCTCCTCCTCGTCTATTCTCCATAGTTTGAGACGCCCGAACATCCACTGTTTGGGATGCAAGAATAGAAGAATCAAGTATCTGTGATGAGATCACTGGGTGACTTGGTGCTGCAGCAAGGCGGAGTAATCGAGAGAATAATTCATCAACTGTGGGGACAGTCGGACTAGGCAAAATCTGGTCGCGTACGGAATCAAGATCATTAGGAAGTCTAGCGAGGGTAAGAACTAGAAACATCTTCTGTCGCTGCTAGAACTAGAAACATCTTCTGTCGCTGTTCTTGTTGCTTTTCCACACTAGCAGAAACTGGTATCAACTTCTCAAATTCCTACATGACTGCCTGTACTTGACCCAAGTAAGTAAACATATCTAGTTCCTGCTTCTTTAAGTTTGTCATCCGCGATATCACATCATAGAAGCGGGATATGTCATTAGTGTATAAGGTACGAACCTTTGCCCAAACCGAATAGCATGTCTGGAATGGACGAAACAAGGGCATCAACTTGGAATCAATAGATCGCCACAGTATGCTACATAACTGAGCATCGATCTTTGCCCAAAGTGTTATCACCTTTTCATCTCCTTCGCTAGACTGTTTGATTAGATGATCTTGAACACCTTGACCTTTACACCACAACTCGACAGATGAAGCCCAAGCTAAGTAGTTTGAACTTCCCATTAAAGGTTCTGAGGTAATCATAACACTAGAGCTTCCAGAACTCATGTTTTTAGACCCAAAAACATCAAATCCCAAAGACATTGTTGCAAATTATTACCAAATAAGAGAAAGAATCAACTGTAATCCACTGAAACAGAGTAAGGAAACACTGAAACAGAATAATGAGTTACTGTAGCTGCCGGAATCTACTGACGAAAAAACTCAAAGTGGTTGGAATGAAACAAAAACGGGTAGGATCGGAATTACCAGACGACCCAACTATTCTGGAGGGACTTTTTTTTTAAAAATGGCCGGAAGTGGGCATACGCGCCGGCGCGTGAGCTTCTGGTGGCGTGTGGGGGCTGGGGTTTGGTCGCCGGACAATGACTACTCTTGTGGTAGTGTTGGATTTTGCACAACACTGACGGAGATAAAGCAGACGCAAACAACCTTGAAAAAGTCGCCGGAAAAAGACTTCTAGTGACTGATTTCTGTTCCCGGAGTCGCTGGAATTTATGCACAGCGATAAATCTCTCACAATTGCTCTGATACCATGTGAGAAAGCACAGGAGAAAATATATTATTAATATTAGATGGATGAATACAATACAAGAAGTCCTTATTTATAGCTATACACTACAAGTACATATTACTCTCATTCCAATGTGGGACAAGACTATATTATGTACATAGCTCTAAACTAACAACTACAATGAATCACAAGACAAAAATATAGTTCGCTTCACTTGAAACGTCATTATGCATTACATGATAGATGATACTTTACCCACTTAGAATGTTCTTTATGGGACTCAATCAATTGGGTATTGGCAGGACAATTCATCTGATATACAATCTGTTTTTGTTTTGTGTAGAGTAGTGAGGTTGAAGTTCTAGTCATGAGACACAACCAACCGGCCAAGCAACACATGAAACTGCAAGTTCACCCAAATAATCTAGCATGAAAGGAAACAACAAGCAGCTGACGGAAGATTCAATTTGACCCCTTGAGTGGCTAAAAGGAGAAACCCTCCAGTATATTTATGCCAAAGTTTTGTAAAGAGAAACATTAAATGCCACTAAAACAATTATGAAGAAACTATAAAAAAAAAGGGCAGCACGGTGCACAAAGCATTCCGCGTTCACGCAAGGTCCAAGGAAGAACCGCACCCCAAGGGTATATGATGTAAACAGCCTACCCTAATGCAAGCATTAGTGGCTGCTTCCATGGCTCGAACCTATGACATATAGGTCACACGGAGACAACTTTACCGTTGCTCCAAGACTCCCCTTCAATGAAGAAACTATACGAGAAGTTAACAAATTAAGATTTGTATCTAAAAGACCTAGACTTATATTTATAGCATGTGCAGAATTAGAACTTGCATACCTTGAAATTAAACAATATTCAAAAGAGATGAATATCATACCAAATAATCAAAAAAAGAGATGAATATCATACCAAGTTTTCAAAAGCTTCATTGTTGAGAAACTGCATTACACCAGTGTTCATAAGATCCCTCAAAGGAACTTATTGACTTTATTATGGATTCATAGACCTTAATCCCCTCCAAGTAAACAGTATCCTTGAGGAACTGCCAGGAGAACAAATGATTGGCATCAGAGAAACAAGTGTTTATTGACTTGTCATAAATAGAAGCAGCAACAAACCTCATTGTGGTCATGCAGTAAGATGGGGGTGTTCTTCATAGGGGAGAAACCAAAGGTGGGAATTCCCAGTCGTCTCATGAATCGAGCATCAGTTGTCGACGCTAATATTTCAGGCTTGGAGAGTTTGCCCCCAGCTCTAGTAACAGCTTCATTAAAAACAGACCACCAAGGGTTGGAATCGGAAGTGAGTGTCATCAAAGGACATCCCATGTTGTCCCTCAGGAATCCTTTCTCGGTTATCTGCCATATTACAAGAAGCCTGAGAATCAGAAGACCAAAAGTACACCATCTTGTCCATTTTTTGTGTTTAGTATACAAATAAAATATCACCCAAATGCAAACTTCTTAAAAACTGGTGAGTAACGCATAAGAATGGGAATGGGGAAAAAAACACAAGCTTCATCTACCAAACCACGAATCCCAACTACTACTTACATTGGAAATTATGTCTCTGCTCAAAATTAACTGATATACTATCCATTTAGAGTTGTCCCACAAGCAAACGTTTCTTTTAAATAAATACAGCTGTCCAGCGGAATGACTAGATGATTCATATTAAGGCATAGTTGATTGATTGACTGATTGATAAATAGAGTTGTCCCAATTGTGACAACTTCCTAAAAGAAAACGTTTTTCATTACACGATCCGGCACTTTTTGATATCATACGATCAGAAAGGTATAATGGCGCCCAATTTAAAGAGAGCAATCTTGGAACAGCTTCAGAAATACAAGATTCAGACAATTGGAGGTAAACATGGAATCTTAAACTCTTAGTTATCTCTGGATTTCCAGCCAGATTAATCCTGCTTTGTGATTTCCAAGTTCCAACCAAACCATTCTTCTCTGATCCTTTCTCTTCCCAAAACCCTCTCTCTTCTTAACATGTCTCCCACAGCAGCAACACTTTTACTTGTCATCTTTAAGTCCAGATTGGCAAAATGTAATTGATCATATAGTAGCAGCTATGACGACGTGGAGTGTCGTCAATTTAAAACTAGTGTAAAATCCATTTTAGATGGAAAAGAATGCCTTCTTCTCAGCTGGGGAAAGGTCATATGAAATCATTGGGGAAAAAAGGGAATGCCAATCCACGTGGTTTGAATGGATGCAAAGAAGGAATTCTTTGTTAGTAGAATTAGAGTTGAAAGCAACAGATTTTTGTGGATCTGCAAAAGTATAGATGAAAGCATCTGAAGAACCAGAGAGATCTCCTTTGGAAATAGAGCAAATGGGAACAACTATATGAATTTTACATCATCCAAAACTAAAATGAATGTGGAGGATTCAGTAGAAACACTATATTAGAAAGGAGAAGGACAAGATTGATCATAATCAAACCCTGGAGCAGACCATTGCCAACAAATTGATGAAATTCAAGAAGGAATTTCTTCTTCAATATAACCTTCCCCTATTATCACTACAGAATCTTGTTCATTGTCGGATTCATGTCGATTCAGATTGATATTTGGGTATTGTATTACCTCTTTCTTTTTCTCCCTCTTATCAGTCCAGAAATTATCCAGAAATAGCCATACTGAAAAGATGGTAGGAAACAAGTTCAGCAGTGCAAAAACGTTCAACAGCCGGAACCCCTTTGTAGATGTGAACAAGCAATCTCTAAAATCAAGAAAAGACTTTCTAGCAAAGTGTGGGCAATTTGGTGAACTGGTGGCAGAAGGAACAAGAAAACGTAGTAGAACAATGGATACAATCAAATAGGAACATCTACGGGACAAGCGTTTGTTGCTTCTGTTCAAGTTCCCGTCGGAAACAGTTGAAGGACCTCAAGCTTCACTTGAACTAGTGGTCTACAACCACCACTTGCCACACTTAGCTCCCGTTTGGACATAGATTTTTTTTACTTTTATTCAAAGACAATTTTGAAAACATTGCATGTTCATGGAATTTGATCAGTTTTTGAAAAAAAATTATAAAATTTCCAAAACTGGTTTGGGTCATTTTTTGGGCGAAATTTTTTCTTCCACTTACAAAACTTCAACTTTTTTATATGTAAAATGCATGTACAAGCACAACTTCAACTTCCAAAAACTATTTTTCAGCACAACTTCAAAAACTCTTTTTTTCAAGTTTCAACCAAATCTATGTCCAAAGGCTTACTTAGTATCTAGTCCATCACTCCATCTCATATTGTGTCAACACAACCCATTATGTTTCCCGGTGCATACATCATTTTCCAACTCTTTCATATATTGGACCATGCCAAGAAGTCACTGGGAGTATGCTCTACAGATTTACTGAGACAGTGGCCTCGAGTTGTGATCCCTCGGACTGACCAGACATAGTGGATTCCTTTTTGTTCATTTGCCAGCTCTGCACTTTGTCTTTTCTGCTGCTTTTCCACTTCATTCTTCTCAGATTCAATCTTCTGAATTGCTTGCTTGAGTCTTTGCTTGACTCTTAGCCGTTGTCTAATCTTCTCTAAGTTAGGTAGTCGCTGTTAGTTGGTTCAGCTTCTCTTACCCTTTGTTGACAACCCGCTGGTCTTTGACAACATTAGCCTTAGGCTTGATCATCTTCCTCAGCTTCTCTTGAATCTTATCAGTGACAAAGATACAGAGACCTGAGACTCCTTTGTAGATGTTGATATCCAATAAGCACTTCTTCTAGTTTAGAGTCAAATCTTGCATAGATGGAGACTTGGGAGGACAGGAACTTTCTTGCTTTTCTTGTTTGGATGGCAGTTCTTGTCAGCAGTGATGTTCTTTCAAACGATAGAGTTTCTTCGTGAAGCATGGTTCGTTCCTGTCTGCCTGATTCCACTGATTCTTTTAAGGTGGAGTTCTGCACTTGCGACCCCTTCGGAGATATCGGTCTCCTCTGTGAAGCTGGCACATGAGCACATCTTGTGAGAATTGGGAGCAGTATTGGTAATGGCTACCATATTATCAAATACTGGCAAGAAAGTGTCAACATCAGTCACCATATGTTAAATAAAATGAACATGCATTATCATTGATTGCTTTCCAGCTAGCATCGCGAAAGACGACGCAGTTGTTGCTAATATGAGTTGTCACTTATGAGTTGTCACTTGCCTGTTCTTCAATTCTTCAACTGATGGATGTTTGTATGCTTCTGGAAGTCTGATCCGCTTATCCTTAAGAAAATAGTCAAACATCAAGTTCTTTAGAAGTATCAATCATGTAGCTTTCTTTGTTCTCAATCTTCACCAACTTCTTAGCTTTTGACAACTTGAGAGCAGAACAAGAATATGGTTTTTCTCATATGTTTCGACAGCATGAACCTAAGCAGACTACTTCTCCTCATAATCAGTAGGCTTGGCCAGTTCACTGAATTTATGATGGACACGAGATAAGGACCTTTTCCTCTGCTGGCTCTTCGTTGCTTCTCGCCAAGAATGAACTGCTACACCTTTGTAGCTTTGGTGACCAGCTAAGTAAGAGCCACGAACTCCTACGCTATGAGTATTTCTTTGAACCCAGGGATGAAAGTTGGCAACATATAATGCATACTGAGATTCCGGAATTGTATGTTGCATCTAGTGCGCATCTTCTGATATCTCTCCAGGAAATCAACAACAGATTCATCAACCTACTGTAATAACCAGTCATGGAACATTCTCTCCATGTCAGCCTAGCTTTGAGCTGAATTGGCAGGCAACGAAAAGTACTAGGCAAAGATAATTTTTGTCCACAACAAGGGAAAGAGCATCTTATGCCCTTCTTTATGTGCAACCTCCCCCCGCATTCTGCAATAAATGCCGATACGATCTTCGGTAGATTTGTTATCTTCTCAGGAAAAAAATGACAAATCTTGGAAGTTTGAAACCTCTTGGAATAGGCACATCCGTCAATCCAGTCGGAACAGGTACAGACATTTGTCTACTGGCTTCAAGTTTATTCCAAAATGCGTCATCATTTTGGCCGGTGCACTTAGAATGTAGAGTTGTAAAATTGCTGGCTCATCTGCTCAGATGCAGGATTTGGCATAGAGATTGCCGAAGGCTGGGTTGGTCATGGTTATGCATGTGCTTGCCAGGCCAGCGCGGGTAGAAATATGGCTGATTTGGAACAACCCATGTCTGCTTTCCTAAGTGATTTTCTGATATAGGCAAGTCCCAAGTACGGATGATGTTTGACACGTTATTAAAGATCTGCTGATGAAGGAAACCTCCGACTTATGGATCTGAAAGAAAAGGGGTTGTAGGTAAGGCAAAATTGCCTGTTGAATTAGTAAGCTTCTTAGCCAAGTTGACTTGACTGAACTGAAGATTAGACTGTGACACTGGGTACTGTTTCCATATAAAAAGATTAGTCAGTAGGAGCTGACAATACTTAATTTGCCATCTAAGCCGCGAAACTTGATGGAATCAGTCGCCCTCCCGGACATTCATGTTCCCTTGCTAAGGAGTCATCCTGAACCGAGGACTTGGTAGGTCTAAACCGATTGGTAATTGAAGTTGGTCATAGATTGATCTTCTTGTTGTCTTACCACCTTAAACATTTAGTCCGGAGAAAAGTGGACCTCAATTTGCACTGCAGGTTTCTACTTTACCAATAGGTTGGGGGAACTAGTGAATCATGTCATTAATATATGTTAAGAATATGGATCTTCGACCTAACTCAACCGCAGAAGCTAGCTTATAAGTTGAGGATTGCCCAAGATCATATAAGGAAACTCTTTTTTAATTACCAACAGATATTGGACTCAACACACCTTGCACGCCCAGTACTGGACATCTGGAACGTGGACAGTATAAGATGGGGGCCCAACATCCGGTTAATAATGAATTGGGATAAACCTGGCTCTGATATCATTTTAAGAAAATGGACTTTCGGCCTAACTCAACCTTAAAAGCTAGCTCGTGAGGTAAATATTGCCTAAGACCATATAAAGAGACCCATTTTTTAATTCCCACCTGATGTAGGACTCAACAATATCCATGTCGATTTCTCTTGTATGAATGATGTGTTTATTATCATGGGAGGTGAACCAAAATGTCCTTCATTCGGAACTATGATAGGTTGATGTCGATTGGAGGAGCTTATGCCAGTGTAATTGTACCCTGCGATTTATCATATGTTTGAGTGGGAGAACCAGGAGTTACAATCCTTTTTTCGCTGGCTGTTGGTTGTTGCCCTATGTTGAGAAGATTCTTGCCCCATTATAGTTCATGCACAAGTGAAATCAAGTCCTAAAAGAGTAAAGTTTGAGAACTATAGAAAAAAGTCCTATCGAGCATAGCAAAGAATATTGTTGGCTTAAACTAAGTTGCTCAGACTCTTCACTTTTGGTGCCGCACCCGTGTCGACATGACATGGGTGTCGGTGTGGGATGTGGGATCCGTACCGGATCTGATCAAGCGATTTTGGATACTTTTGACAAAAATCGACGGAGAAATTTGGAACAGATACAATGATTTCCAAAATCAAAACAAAAGATAAGGTGAAATTAAAGAAAATGGTGTATAAAGAAATTTATATGCCAATCATTCTCCATTTATCTCAATCTTTCTTAGAATACATTATAAGGTTTCCACGTAATGTCTCGTAAGTAGGACATATTTTTATAACTTTATTTTTAGACATTTGAATTATTTTTAGCCGAATCCCCGCACCCGTATTCGTAACTGAATTCGTACCCCGGATCTTAAAATTTAGATCATGAAGGATCGACCTCTAGATCTACACCCGTATCGGACACCCGCACCCGAGTCCGAGCAACTTAGGGCTTAAAAAATAAATGGAGTTCTTGAGCTAGATGAACAATGGATGCGGAATTTGCCAAGCAATGATCCCAGAATGGAAGTCAAACGAGTAACGTTGAGGACGGGACTTTGCCATTTGCCAATCATATAAAAGAGGAACTTCACTAAGATTAATCTAAGAAGAAGACATCTACCTTATCAACCAAAAAAGAAAAGGAAACATCTACTGACGTTCTAAGAGAGCTGGTAAGAAAAGCTGTAAAAAAAAGGAGAAGATTAAAGGAATTTGAAGGAAATGAATATAAGTTTATTGACTGCCGTAATGATTGTGATGATGTCCATCCATGCATAAAGGATCCTACTTATACATATAAGGTCGAGCATAACTTTCTAATCATGCATTCTATTTTTATTTCTAAAATCTAGGCACGATCTTGATGATGCAAGAGTGGTTTACTGCTCATTTGGTTGTTCTCATTGCATGTGCACTAACCTTATTGTCCCACGTTCAATCAGCGTAGCCTTGTTTAGAATTCTACTGGAAAATAGTTACTTAACTGAGTCATTACATGATAAACCTTGTACAACTTGGTTGACAAATTAACTCCTTCGCTTATTTCGAGAAGTGGAAGCTTGATTCTTCAGGTTTGAGCTGATGGATATGTCATATAATCAGTTGTACTCCTTGGATTTGGTCCATTTTTTGTAGACATCCAACTTGCTTCCCTTAGTAGGCTTTGGCCAT